CAATCTTGTAAATCATTCTATTGATCAATTCTGCAAATCCCTTTTGTAGATCGATTTTGCAGATCACTTTGTAGATCTGTTTACAATATCATCTTAAGTGAATATACATAATAAGTAGTAAAAGTAAAGGTATTTATCTAAAATTAAATTTCTATCATCACTATACAAGTTTTTTAAATCATTATCTATAATGAAGGTAAATTGGTTATATGATAATTATAATTAGAAGGAAGGGTATTATTAGTATTTGTTGGTAAGAGACAATTATTATTATTATTATTATTTATAATTGAGAGAGACATATAAGATATTAAACTATCTTTTATTATATTAATTATTAAGGAATTATGAATAAAAGATATATTTAAATTTGGGATTTGCTTATATTAAGTATAAATTGTTCAATTTGTTTGAATATGATATTTATCTGTTTTTTTGTTCTATAATAATAGCAGATTGTTTATTAATTATATAAATCAGATCAGGTTTTAGAGCAATTACTAATAAGGGAGAAGAATCATTACTTAAAAATTTAGCAATATGAGATCTTTTGTTAGGTGTATTTTATATTTTTGATGAAGAAGAAGGAAAATGTAAAATATCATAATTGGATCATTTACTTAATTGGAAAGAAATATAGAAAATACAGTATTTTTAGTTATAAAAGAAGACTAAAGTATTTCCAATTTAGCTATTCTATTATTTAAATCATTCATATCTTTTTCATGTTAAAAAGAATAATGAGAATTTGATCTAATTTGTTGATAATATTTTATTAGGATTGTGAATAAAATCCTCTACTATTAGTTTAACAATGTTTTTAGATAGTGGTAGTGAAAAAGTATTCTTATTTTTAGTTGCATCAGAATATAATTTGAAAATATAAATTAACTGATTTAAAGTGACAAATGTTTTAAAATAAGCTGATTTGAGATTATTATAAAGACTTTGCATAGAATTGGTTAGAGTAGTAGATAAGGTTACTGAACAAAATCAAGAGTTTAAACAGACGTCTAAATGGTAAAAGTAAATTTTGGTTAAATTATATTAAAACCTTATTAAAAAATCTGCAAAATTTGGAAAAAGGTAAAACTATATATATCAAAGCTTATAAAAATGGCGAAACTATATCAAACACTTAGTAAAAATTTAGCAAAACTAAAGGTTTAACCATTTTGCCAAATCTAAAATGAGTTTAGACAAGCAATCTTAGTAGTAGATTTGGGTTTATGATATTTTTCATTATTATTTGATGAATCAGATTTTAGCAAAAAGGTATATTTCATAATGAGATGCTCTGGATCATCACATTTGTGACAACTTCTAGCATCAGAAGAGTATCACATTAATTGGTTATTTCTAAAAGGAATGTTGTTTTAAGTTGCTTGGTAGAATGTTTCTTCATTATTAAAGTGTAATATAACAAATAGTCAGAATTTATAATTATTAGATCTGAAAATATAACTAGCTTTGGCTCTAATTGCAAGAATAATATTATGAAGGTCTCTTACAGAAGTTCCAAATAGAAGATTTATAAGTTAGATACAATAAGTGTTTTTATATTTGACTTCTTCTGAAGTTATATTGCAAGGATTGAAACAGACTGAATCATTTTAGACAAAATGACTCCATACTTGATAAAATAATTTGATGCATTTAGGATTTTCATAAGTTATACTTTTACAGTCATTTTAAAGTTGGTGATAATATCATATTTGGCAAAGTCCTGTTTAATATTTGCAGGTTTCATTTGTAATGTGATATCAGTGACATGAATGGTTTGTTCGTTGAATTGCATGTCAGCATTGTATTAAGCAAAGTTAAAGAATTTTTCAATTTTAAAATTAGGAATGGTCACATAAAGAGTTGTAGTAGCCACGTCTAATATTATAAAGTAGATGATTACTGTACTGTTTACGTGATAGATACAAATTTAAAGTCATCATTTTAAGCAAAGATACTATTGATAGTTTAGATAATTTTGTATCTTTAAACATTGAATGATAAGGACTTTTTCTTTTTTGATATTCGGATCTGTCATATGAAGAATAGTTTTTGATATTTAATTTTAACGGGCGCGAAATTTATCATTGTTACAAAAGCTGAATCTTCCCATTTTCTTGTTTATCATGCCAAATTTATCATGTAATTCAATTCAAAAAAAAAATTATGTCTTGCTCGTAAACTTTATAAAATTAAAAAAAAAAAAAAAAAAGAATGGCTAATGCTAATGGATATTATGTTTTATCGTTTGATAAAATAAAATTTTGAAAAACAAGCGTGGCGCAGATATGACCAAATTTGTTAAATTTTACTTATACAGAAACCTTTTAATAATGCAAGATATATTTTTTATGCTAGGGTGAATAATTTAATTTTAGCTCCAATTTAAATAGGGGCAGCTAAAAACAACGTGCTTGTCAAAAAAAAAAAAAAATATATAAAATAAAAAGTAAAAAATATAAAATAATACATTTAAATATCTCAAATATGCCTAAAGCTTCGCCTACATTACATTTCCCTCTCACTTTACCTAAAGATGATCTACTTGCAAATGCTTTTTTTAAATCCAACGAAGCTACCTCCCATGAAAAAATTATCAAAAATTGCAAAATCGTCTTAAGGTAAGGAATCATCAATGGTAAATAACGAATACGTTAAGCTGACGAGACTTTGAATAAGAATGCATTCATAGAATGATCCGAAATGAAACATGGCTATTGCTCATTCGTAAACGATTCGCTAGTTCTCAATTTTATTTAGAATACTAACAACTGTTATCTCTCAAAAATCTCCATTTATATGTATGCAGATTAATCCGTGGGATTATCTGATTATCTGAATTATCCGACTAATAATGTAATTATTTTTTGGGGCGTAGTACCTAAAAAAAAAAATAGATACCTTTTCTCTTCGTAACTTCGAATAGAAGCATTCTCCGAGATGCTTGTTCAATTTCTGCTCTTCATTTAGGTGAGTTTCATTTTGATATCATTTTTTAAAAAAAAAAATATAATATATTTTTTTTATTTTAATTTTACTCTAAAAAAAATTAAATTTTTAGATACCTTTTCCTCTAAATCGATATCAAAAGTTACTATTACAGAAGTATATTAGTAATCTAATCATTCGATCGTGTTCTTGTCCCATTTCTGTTTAGTTTAATTTTTAAGTTTTGTTAGTATTTAGCCTAATTGTCCCGTCTCCTGGCCAATATGCCATTTATTATTAATAAATACATTTAAATAAAAAAACCTTTTACTTACTTTTTCTATTGTTTACAACTAATAAACTTCTTGAACTGCGCAATAGTGAGTTTCGATTTGATTAAAAGTTATAATTTTTTTTTACTATATCGAAAATTTAATTTATTTTAATTTAAACTTTCCATTCTTGGCGAAATGATGATTGCTGACCAATGGACGTAACGGATCACGAATCATAATTCAGAAATACTATATATTTACATAAAATAAAACTAGGTAACGGAAACGGAAACCGTTAGAAAGTCTGAAGCGAAAAACTCCCAATACTTAGGTTTATTGTACAACAATTGTGACTAATAACAGATCGACTCAAATATTGAGCGGGGGGAATGCGGGACATATGAGTCATATGGCATAGAAGTATATAGTCCTTCGCTACGCTTCGGACTAATAATATAAACTGCACGGCTAGCTACATTGCTGCCAAGTTGTAGTCCCACGACTAGCTACAACAAAACCTTCTTACCTTAAATTGTTCCTTCAGAAATTCGTCTCTCTTCATTTCAATTTCTTCACCGTTTGTTAAAAATCACTCTAATTGCATATTAAATGATCTCCAGACTGTTATTTTAGGGGTAAATTAGAGTTTTCCGATATCCATGGTCGCTAATCTCTACTGGAAAGAATGACGTTATTACGAATTTCAAAATGCGCAGTAAAATTTCATGATTATAAATTGCCGATTCTTTCTACATTTATGTAGTGTTTCTCTGAAAATGGAATCATCATTAAATATTAGAGCGTGAAAAGCCTCAGAAATCAATTTCGTAGTTATCTTCATAAAATGGCAACGCTATGGATCCATATTGAGGGCGAACCAGATTCTGTGAAATTTCATGTTATGAGACAACAGTCAGAGCTTGACAAAATTGACTTGGATGATATCAGGCCTGAACTTTGTAATAAAGAAATTCTTAAAAATGTTGTTCCAGACAAACTCAAATTCTTTAGATACAATGACCGTATTACATCTCTTCGTCCGGATACCCTTATTAATACTTTGAATACAACTGCCTCGGA